TGCCCAGAGAAGGGCAAGGAAGCTGGTGAAGGATTTGGAGCATGAGTTGTACAAGGAACGCCTGAGGGATCTGAGGCTGCTCTGGGAGGAAAAGAGACTGAGGGGAGACCTCATTGCTCTCTACAACTACCTGAAAGGAGGTTGAATTGAAGTGGGAGTTGGTCTGTTCTCCCTAGTGGCGAGTGACAGGATGAGAGGAAACAGCCCTAAGTTGCACCAGGGGAGGTTCAGGTTGGATATTACGAAGAATTTCTTTACTGAAGGGGTTGTCAGCCATTGGAGTTGTCAGGCATTGGAAGAGCCTGCCCAGGGAGGTGGCAGAGTCACCATCCCTGGAGTTGTTTAAGAGAAGGGTAGATGTTGTGCTGAGGGACACAGTTTAGTGGTGTTGATAGCACTAGGACACAGGTCGGACTCAATGATCTTGAAGGTCTCTTCCAAACAAAACTGTTATATTATTCTATGATTCTATGAATAATAGTACTAATAAGGAAATAATTAAATATATACATATATATACAAAACCAATATGGAATCCAACTCCCGCCCCTCTCCCTCCTGCCACAGCAATCCCCACTGATGCTGCAGAGAAGGCATCATCAGGCAAGCCCCAGGCTCAGCAGTAGATGGGAGCTGCACACAGGAGCTGGGTTCAGGAACTCATGATTGGGCTAAAAAGGCAGAACAGACCGAGTCCTTCTTGGATCTGGCCATTGAAGAAGTGAGCTTAACCCCTGTGACCCCTCAGCTTTATACTAATATGATGTATACAGAAAGGAATACTCTTCTTGGTTAGTTTTGGGTCGCCTGTCCTGTCTGCTCCTTCTGAGAGATATGACCATTTTATTTCCTTGCAACCGCTTCCTGGAACCCGTACCATGGTATAAAACATTTATCTGTGACCTTGGTTACTCCAGGAGCAAGTATAAGCAAGATCCTTTCTGCATACCAATCCCTAGTAGTAAGTATAAACAGCACGTGTTATCACTTCCACTAGCAGACACCATCTGCAAAAACGTGCTGTTAACTTCAGAAAGAACAACCTCTTAGAAGAGACTGAGCTGAAAAGTAAAATCACTAAATAGAACTAATCTTGTTTTAGCTCAAACCAGGACAACTGGTGAGGCCACACCTGGTGTCCTGTGTCCGGTTCTGGGCTCCCTGGTACAAGAGAGACAAGGACATACTGGAGAGAGTCCAAAAAAGGGCCCACAAAGATGATGAACAGACTGCAGCATCTCTCCTTTGAGGAAAGGCTGACAGAGGTGGGACTGTCTAGCCTAGAGACAAGAGGGTGAGGGCAGAATCTTCTTGATGTCTGCAAATACCTGAAGGAAGGGTGCAAAGAGGGCCAAGGTCAGTGCTGGCAGTGACAGGACCAGAGGCAATGGCGCACATATCAAAACACAGGAAATGCTTTTTTAGTTTGAGGGTGGCTGAGCAATGGCACAGGTTGCCTGTGGAAGCTGGGGAGTCTCCATCCTTGGATGTATTCAAAAGCTGTCTGGACATGGTCTGGAGCAGTGGCTACAGGTGGCCCTGCTTGAGCAGTGGGGTTGAACCAGGCAACTTCCAAAGGTCCCTTCCAACCTCAACCACTGTGTGATTGCTTCATGCTGAACAAATTTTCATTACAGTTAAAAAATAATACACATTTTCATATCAATACCTCCTCCACATAGTCATGGCCCACTGGCTGGACATCACTTTGCAAGGCAGCAAGAGTTGTGGGTGTCACTGGTTCAGCTGCTGTGTCTGGTTTTGCTTCCTGTGTTTGCACTGTAGCAGCAGGAGTTGTTTTAGCACTTTCAGCTGACTTCATTTCTTCCACTTTACTTCCTGTTGTCTGAAGCTTATTGCCACCTACAAATCAAAAAAGTTAAATTGGTAACTTTCATAAAATGAGAATGTGATTACACATGATGGGCAAACTGAAGACTTCATTTGCAAATATCAATGCCAAAGCATTATCAGTCTTCTAAAATTAGTTAAAACTTAAACATATTTTAAATACAATTAAAGATTTTTTTAAAATAAGGTTAACAACATTAAAGTTACTTAAACACTTGGGTTTTTTTAGCAAGAAACACTTTTGCTTTATACAACTAAAATTTTTATTACTAAATTTTCATGCTTTTTCAAACGAAATAGGACTGAATGGGAAAAACTCAGCAAGTATATTTTTATAATCTCTTTTTTGTCATCATATATTTTCTTTTGTGTAAATGGATAAAAAAAACTACTTCAAAACATTATAATGTTTGTACTAAGAAAGTATTATACTCTGTATTGCAACTGCATAGGTCTTTCCTTCAAGAGCAGGATAACTCATGGCAGAACAGCTGCTTCCCATCTCTGAATGTCTGTCATGTTCATTTCAAAAGATTCTGCTGTCACATTTCCACTGTTACAAGGATGTTTCAGTTGCCCAGTTATCAACCGCCAACCTGCTGAAGGTTGCACTATCAGCCCAGGCTGTAAACCAAAATTAGGACCAACTGAACTACATACTGTAATAATCCAGCAGCTACTACAGAAGAAACTAAAGATCGGAGGCTTCTTACAAAGGTGAGAGAAGTCTCCAGGAGGCTTCTGCCTCCAGTTGGGCAAAAAACACCATACATTTTGAAGAAAAGCTTTTATATACATTCTTATTTTCATCTAGCAATAATCTCTTAAACACAGCAGGGGTAACAATGCATAAAGGCAACTAATATATTTGTATTTGCTGCACTAAGTCTTAAAGAAAATATAGAATAAATTAGGTTTCAAAATAAAGACTGACTTCTGTACTTGCCAACAAAGTTTATTTTCGGTGTAGATATTTTCTTTACAGGTATATTAGCAGCAGTTGAAGATGTTTTGTTGTTGGACGCAGTGTTAAGTGTTGTGTTTGCTGTGGGAGTAAGAATTTTCACGGCAGAGGATGCAACAGAGGAGTTCACAGTACTGCTGCTAGCTGCTATATTTGAAGCAGAGGCAGTTGGTTTGGAAGCAGATGTGGATGTTGAGGAAGTAGCTTGCGTAACCACATTTGGTTCCGTTGAAGGAATGGGTTTGCCAAGTTTTGTGTGCAACTTTACTACCTGTAAGAATGAAATTAATTATATGATCTCCCCGAGATAACTCTAAAAAATGACACAAACACCAATATAACAAAAGAGTCAGCTATTGCTGCTTTACAAAAAGTGATATTAGCAAAAAAAAAAAAAAGAAGAAAAAAAAAAAAAAGATGGGCATGCATATCTAAGAAACAATTTCCCCCCCACCTGCTGACTGATGCCTGAGTAGCAATACGTCCCTCCCAGTCAACTCCCCCCAGGTTAAATGGCACTTCAGGAGATGGTTTAGGGTTACAGTGGTGTAGGGCTGTAGGTTGGACTTAATGATCTTAAGGTCCTTTCCAACCTTGATGTTTTTATGGTTTCCATACACTGAGCATGATGTTTCATGGCATGCAATATCCCTTTGGCTAGTTCGGATCAGCTCTCCTGGCCATGCTCCCTCTCAGCTTCTTGTGCACCTGCTCACTGGCAGAGCATGAGAAACTGAAAAATCCTTACTTTAGGAAAAGTGCTACTTAGCAACAACTAAACCGTCAGAGCGTAAACCATCAACATTATTCTCACAGTAAATCCAAAACTGTGCAGATAGGAGGAAGAAAATCAATTCTATCCCAGTTGAAATCAGAACACTTGTATAGTAAGAACAGGAGAAAAGTCTTACTTTCTGATGCTTGGCTCCACGGATATGGGCAGCATAAGCATCTGCCCCTGTACAAGACACATCACAAAGCTCACAGCGCAACTGATTCTGAGTTCCACGAGCAGAAGTGCTACTGCTGTTGGTATTCTGTGAAGCTTTTAATGCTGCTTCTTTCTTTTTGTGTTTCTGGCCTTCTAAATGTTCTTTGTAAGTCTGTTTAAATAAACAATATACACACAATAAGTTGTCTTTGTACTGCTTGTTCATCATTCGTGTGAATATAAGTAATACAGAACACAACATAAAATATGATTTGGATAAGAAATAGTTCCTACACTGTACATTTCTTGCCCATGACATGCCCTAAGGCATTAGCAGGGCACTTTCAAGAACAAGAAATTTTCTTTTCCACAACTAGGATTTCATTGAAGTAATACAATATGGCCTTTTCTCCACTAACTTATTAACAGTTCCTTGAGCAAGTACTGGTCAACAGATACTACCACTGAATACTTGACATGATAGAAAACTGTAGTTTCCTGCACTGCATTCAGTGAGTCTTGATTTTTCCTCAAACTACAAGACCACAGTTATCAAGTGTTTCCAAAAAACTGAAAAACTCAAATCAAAAGAAAGTAGTGCAAAAAACAAGCTGTGCAGGAAACGAAATGAAGAAGTTGGTATTCACTCCTATACCATCAATCTAGACTGCAGACAGGGTGCGAAATTATAACATGTTTAACTAAAGAGTTAAGAACTGTTTAGCCAGACACACACATAAATACTCTGCATGAATACATATCTACTTCCTGCACACTTGTACCCACTGTGAAACTAAGCTGGGATGCTGGAATACAATGAAAAACTAACTTTCAGGCTTACCATTCACAAAATTTATGTAATTCCATAGTTTTCAAAAAAAAAAAAAAAAGTATTTTCTAAGTAGTTTGTTACACCAAAAAAGCAAATAAAATTCAAAGTTTAGAATATTTCTGAAGTCCAATGTAGAGCTGAAGCTTCTCTGTATAAGCTCAGGGGATATATATATTTTTTTTGTCTTCTCATAGGGAACTCTTTCTATAATAGCACATATTTTAGTTTAATTATTCCCTTAGTAGAAGTACAGAATCAGGTCATTAAAAACTAACAGATATTCTTAAAGGCGTCTTTTTTTAGCTGGAGAAGTTATGACTAAAGTGGACAGCAGAATATTATACATAATACAGGTACCTGTGGTCCAGCACAGCTGATCTTACAAACATCACAGTAGTGGATCTGGGGTGGTTTGGGAGGTTGTTTTGGTTTCAGTTGCTTATTTTGGAATGGTGCCTTTTTAGTAAAGGTGGTCCCTGTCCAAGCAGCTGTTGCAGCAGCAGCAGCGGACGGGGGGGCTCACCCTGGCTCCTGCCGCTGCCTGTTTCTGTTGCTGCTGCTGCTGCTGGTAATAGGACGACGCAGCTGAATACACTGCGGCTTCATAGCCGGAATAAGAGGTACCTCAAAGATCAAAATAAAATAAATGTTACATCACTGTACATCATGTAAATCAATTACATAACAGACTAATTCAAAATACGTTGTATAACATGGTTCAGGGGAGGCAGGGCAGAATATAAATTATTTATTGAGATCTTGCTAAGCAGTCTGAATTTTTCTTCATGTTTCACAACAGACAAATACATACCTAACAATTGTATCACGAATATATTTCATTTTAGACATATCATTCCAAACACACAGTTATGTCAGATATACCAAAGCATCTCTAAAGAATACATGAAATTTCCTGGTACATCTGGTGAAATCAAGTATGATGTAATAAGAGTTTTAGTAATAGATTTATCAAAGGCTACTTCAAGTAAGCACTCTTCCAGAACTAGATTTGCTGTTAAAAATTTCCAAATATCAAGGAGCACTGACGTCACGTAGAGGTAAGCGGAAAAAAACCAAACCAAAACAAAACAAACCCGGCAGAATGGCTAGTACTATTACATTCTACTTCATTGATTTAAATTGTTTTAGTGCAGAAAAGCTGCCTGCCTGCCTGCTAAAACCTGGCTATGCAGTCCTTAATTCCTAGTATCAAAGCTGAATAAATTAATGAAACTGGGCTTTCATACCTTTGAGCCAGTTTTTTAATAAATTTTCTATATCTACTGGTTCAACCATTTTAATCCTCTGATCAGGTTCTGCCTCAAGCAAATCTTAAACTCCCTTTCTAAACAGAAAATGAACCAAGAAGTTCAAGGTAGCTCTAATACACCAGCTAATTACCATCTGGCCATAAAGTTAACTATTTTTTGCATTTCTAATGTTTGAAGGAAAGTCTTTTTTTCAGCATCCACTCTCCTTCCATTTTGGATTAAGGCAGTCCAAACTTACAAGATTTATATCAGACTGCTCCTCTCTGTCTCTTTAGCGGCTGTTTGACGGCACCATACTCCTTTCCAATCTCCCTGGGTAAAATTTGTGTGGATGGGCTTATTTTAATTATCCCCCAATCTTTTCTTTCCGAACCTTACAGTATGTCACAAAACACAATGCATGCAAGCAATGCCAACACTTTCTCACATGTAACAAAATAGGCACATAGAAGCATCAAATCTCTTTAAAAGATACAGCAAAATATTTTGCCATTATAATGATTGAACTGGTTGATACTTCTCAGTAGACTACGATGTAATTGAACATGAACTGCTAAAATTCTGAGTATTTAAAGCCTCTCCTGTAGCAACTGCAAGCATCCCAGCAACATAATACGTAAAGTACTTACCAGAGTAAGTAACCGCTGTTGTACTGTACGTTGCACTTTGAGTATAGGATGGAACAACAGTAGCTGCAGCTGCTACTGGCTGCACAGTAGATGATACTGGATATATAGAAAATGTAGTTGTTGCTGGACTTGGGGTTGCAGGTTTTATTGCTGTAACTTGTCGTGTCTGCTGGGCTTGGGTATACTGAGTTGCCCCTTGGCTGTATCCTGCTTTTGGAGCTAATAGGATAGAAAACAGAAGTGTACAAACACCATTACGTTTTAGTTCACTGAAATGAAAACCATATTAAGTGATTATTCACCAAGATACTTTTAAGTAATGCATAACAAGTGGTTTTTGATTATTTTTGTTTGTTTGATTGGTTTAGGGGTTTTGTACTGTGGGGTTTTTTTTTGTTTTCTTTACAGTCATGGTTATGCATAACTGTTTAACCATGTCACAGCTCACAATAGTGAGCCTTAAATTTAGTTAACTATGCCGCCATGTTTTTAAGCAACCTTCTTACTCAACAGTTTTACCAGAGTACATTAAACCAAAGTACACCTAAACTTTCCTATTACTTCTAATTGAAGTAAAAAAGTAGAGTTTCCATTTTGTAGCAACTATGACACCAATAATTAAATAACAACATACATTAAATAACTAAATAATGTAAAAAGTCTTCTAATTAAGTTATCATTTGAACCCACAAATGACTATTTGAACCTATTTCAGCAAGGTTCCTAGATGAATCTACAAGAATTTTGCCTAGAAGCATGGTTTGAGTGTATTTAAACAATCCAAACCTCAGAGATAGCTACTTGTGGCAATGTCAGAATAATATTTAAGTTCTAGGTGCAGCAAACTTTTACACACTGACAGATTACAAGAAAAAAAAAAACCCAACAAAAAACCCCCTGAATAATGTGAAATACTCAAAGAACTATTTTCAAGGTATTAAAGTAGTACACAGACTGTGTCTAATGACAGCAGTCTGCATCATGCCACCCACCTGTCTGGTAGTATGATTCAGCTACTGAAGGCTGAGGCCGGGCAGCCGCCGGCACCCACGCCGCTGCTGGGCTGTTGATAGTATTGTTTGCTGTCATAAGCTACAGCTGGGGCAGTAGATCGAACATAAGAGTAGGAATCCTGAAAATTAAAAAACGAAAAATCAGCACATTTCTCCTTTAAGCATGTATGTGGAGTAGTAAAAGTCATTAGCAGAGTCAAAAAACCCTATTCCTTCTGGCCTACTAAAGTAATTAACCCCCCCACATTTACAGATACAGTATATATAAATAAATGCCTTAAAGACATTAAATTTATGTTTACAGATACCTCAGGCCTAAAACCATCTCTGATGGTCTTTTTCAGACTTAATGCAGGAACTAACATCATGCTATTAAATTACTTTCCCTAATAAATTAATTTTTGTTACTGAAAAGCAACTACTCTCATTAGGTTTTCATAACAACTGTATCAGATCACATTTCTGTAAAATATGAAGCAAAAAACCATCACAGATTTCCACAGAGTATGAATTTCTACAAACCACAATAAATTCACAAGTTCAGAAACATGCCCCTATACTGGCTTTAAAAATACAATCACTAACAGTACTCTTCTTTGTTATGTTTTTTAGAGTATGAAAGTGATGCTTTTAAAGCCTTATTTGTTTTTCTGGTGTATCATCTAGTCCATTAGGGAAACATACCTAGTCTGTAATGGCAAGGCAGGTAGCCCATTTGACACCTCTAGAACTCAGGGTACGGGTAGTAAGCTTAGAATGTAAGGGCCTGGAAGCCACTACATGTATGTAAATATATTTTCTCATCTTCACCGTATTTATGGTGAGGCGTAAAAAGTTCATCAACTGAGGGGTAACAGGGCATGAACTACTATAGCTGAAATCTATTAATGGATAAAAATTCTTTTTATTTCCAAAAATATAATAATAATATCCTTTTCCATCCACCCTGTGTAAACTGGTATTGCTTCTATTTTGTTTACGGGACTCCCTGTTCAAATTTATCTAACAATTGACCCTGTATTTCTGAATACATGTGCCTCTGACATTATCATTTATTATCATATGTAACAACTTATAAAAGCTGTACAAAAGAATTGACATCATGCAGCAATACTTTAGTCCTCTTAAGAAATAAAACAAAACACTAATCAGAATCTAGATAATGTTATATTCGGTTTGCATGGCCAGGTTTCGGTAGCAGGAGGGCTACAGGGGCCGCTTCTGTGCGAAGCTGCTCAAAGCTTCGCCTTGGTCTGGCAGAGCTGAGGCCAGCTGGCTCCAAAGACAGACCTGCCACCGGTCAAAGTGAGCCCATCAGTGTGGGAGGTAATGCCTCTGATATATTTAAGAAGCAAGAAAAAACTACTACACCACAACTTGTACCGAGAGAGAGAGGAGTGAGAACACGTGCAGACACCAAGGACAGTGAAGCAGTAGGGGGAGGATGTGCTGCCCTGGGTCATTTTGAAGACCACAGAGAAACAAGCTGTCCTCCCGCAGCCCATGGAGGACTCCATGATGGAGCAGGTGGATGCCTGAAGGGGGCTGTGACTCCACGGGAAGCCTGCACTGGAGCAGGATCCTGGCAGGCCTGTGGAGGGAGGAGCCCACACCAGAGCAGCTTTACTGGCAGAACTTGTGACTCCACGAGGGACTCACGTTGGATCAGTCTGCCCCTGCAGGACTACACCCCATGGAGAGGACTCACATTAGGGTGGTTTGTCAAGAACTGTCCCTCATGAGAGCGACTCACACTCATGAAAGTGTGTGAAGATCATCTCCTGCGAGAGGGACTCCACGCTGGAGCAGAGGAATAACGGGGAGCCCTCCCCTGGAGGAAGAAGGAGCGGCAGAGAAAACATCTAATGAACTGACTGCAAGCCCCGTTCCCTGCACTGCTCTGAGCAGGGGGAGGTGGATAAATGGGGAGTAAAGTTAAGCCTGGGAACAAGGGAACACTTAAGATAGCTAAGACAAGACAGTACTACTCTTCCTTCAGCAGTAGTGTCACAAAATCACCTGGAGGTAAACATAAGTTCATTGCTTGGACAGTAGAATGGTTTGGGTCAGAAGTGACCTTAAAGATCATCTAGTTCCAACCTCCTGCCATAGGCAGGGGGACCTTCTGCTAGCACACGGTGGTCCACCTGGCCTTGAACACCTCCAGAGAGGGGACAACCTGTTCCATGGTCTCATCACCCTCATAGTAAAGAGTTTCTTCTTCGCAGCTAATCTAAACCCACACTTTCAAATTAAAGCCATCACCCATTTGCCTATCACTACAAGTCCTTGTAAAAAAGTCCCGTTTCAGTTTACTGTGTGAATGTCTTAGTTCCTACAGTACTACTACCAGTACTCCTCTATGTGGGTCACAAGAGACTGCAGTCACTGCACATTCTATCAGTTTTCACTATTAAGTAATCTGAGTTGTACTCAAACCGCGATTCACATAAGAAAAAAAATATCATCACGTTCTCTTGCCTGAACAGCCTTCCTCCTTATAACGCATTGTTTAAAAATAAAAAGTAATTTTTTGGAACCCACCTGATAATTCTGCGTAGTGACAGGAGGCGGTGGTGGGGGTGCTTCTTGTTGCCTCTGCGTGTAACCATAATCTGTAGCTGTGTGCGCCGTAGGATAGCCTCCATACGCAGCAGCTGTTGCAGCAGCTGCAACAGCTACTGGGGCAGGCCTGGGTCACGCCACCCGGCC